TCATGGATTACAAAAAAAAACAAACATTTCGATCATGGATTACAAAAAATTCTAATCATAGGGTTAACAAAAAAAAAACAAAAAACAAAAAATTCGATCATGGATTACAAGAAAAAAAAACAAACATTTCGATCATGGATTACAAAAAATTCTCTCATGGGTTAACAAAAAAAAAAAAAACAAAAAATTCAATCATGGATTACAAAAAAAAAAGAAAACAATTTGATCATGGATTACAAAAAAATCGATCAAGTATTACAAAAAAATCTATCATGGATTACAAAAAAATAAAAAAAATAAAAAAATAAATAAATAAATTTGTACGGGACTCGCCGATTAACTGTACGGGTCGCCTATTCCGTACAGTGAATCGGCGAGTCACTGTGCATAATCGTCCGGTTCTCTCTAAAACCGGACGATTCCCGTTTTTTTTACCGATTCGATCCGTCCATGACAATTCTCCGAGTCCGGTTCGACTCGACGTTTTTTTAAACACTGTATTTGGCCTTTGAACGATCTGAGCTTCAACCATGCCCACTCTTCAAAAGATGATTTAGGGGTTAATAATGAATCTCTCTCTCTCTCTCTCTCTCCCCTTACTTTGTCCTGCATTATAATTCTTACTTGCGATAATCTTTCGTTTTTAAAAACATAAAGGTTGGATTATGGTATGTATTGTACACAATGAGATTATTTATCTTTGAAGATTATTTATCTTTGATTTGAGTCTAATGTGAAATTTGATAGCATGGATATGTCACAAAATTAAAGACAATTTCTTTTTAACTTTGAGGTTGGTCAATGAAATAAATGCAACCATCCGATTTTACATTTAATGGTAAAAATTAATTGTGAACACCTTCTACCGAAAGTAAATGATTTCATTGTATACTTTTCCTTTCCTAAATGTATGAAACTTGATTTGCTCTTTCCTTGAAGTATTATCCCTGTGTCATCTAGAAACGCAATTGGGATCAAAAGAGGGCTAATCGAACATAATAACATTTTCGAAACAATAGGATCCATCGATACTATGAAACCCAAAGAGAATATGAGCTCTTGGGTCAATTTAGAGAGAGAGAGCCTCTCACCTTTCGGGGGTTCCTAACCCCCTTCTTCACCCTTTCATCTCTTCAATCCATCATGGTTTTTTCAAGGCTCTTGAGGTTTTCATGAGACTGAAATTCTATGTATTAGGTGATTTGAGGAAGATGATATAAACCTTATTAAGTGCCATTTTTTCCATGGAGGATTGTGCTCTTTTCAGGAGTAATATCTCCAATTTGGCCTTATACAGCATTATCTGCAACTTTTTTCTGTCCTCGTCTTAGTTTCTCGATTACCTCCTCTTGAGCTCCTCTTCCCACCACCACCTCTTTTACTCTCTCATTTAAACCCTACTTTTAGCTGCTGGTTTCGCCGACTCCCTTTAGACACTACCATGGGCTAAGCAAGAGTATTTGGGCACCATCAAGTTGCCCCAACCCCAGCCAATGTTTCTCGTGGAAGGAGTGGTGCTCTGGGGTAGTATTGAACTGATGGGGCTCGGGCTCAAGTATTAAAAAGGAATTGCCAATGCTTGCTTCAAGTGGTCAATGGGGTCTCTAAGGTACTCAGTAGAGTAGGGTCCTCGAGGTTTAGCGGTTTGTATTTCAAGAGCGTTGGTGGATCTTTCTTTGAAGTAGGGATTCTTTCCCTATTTTTCCTCTCAGTAATTGTACTTCTAGAGTTTTATCAGCATAGATTAATGAAAACTCACCCTTGACATTCAGGAGAGAGAGAGAAAAATACATCAGGGAAACCCAAATTTCAGCAAAATAAATACACGAGGAGAGAGCCCACAGGGTTGAAAGTTTAAAAAGAAGGATGAAAGAAGGAAAAACTATGACCTATCATACATGAAGAAAACGATTTATTATGACAAAGGGATCATCATGTCGCCCGCTTACTGTGAATTGTTACCACAAACTGCTTCTTCAATGACCTCACCATGCACATCATGTGTATCTTCTAACAATGGAGTCGAGGCGTGGTCTTTGGAGGTCAAGAAGCTCGGTTGGTTTGTAGAGGAAAGCAGCCGTGCCCACATTCGATCTGTTATCACCACCTTGTTTTGTGTCTCAGTTACGCGCTGCAAAAATCAACGATTGACAAAAAGTAAGCGTAAGCTATGTAGCAATTCATAGCAAAGAAAATTATTTCAAACAATCATAAGTTTTGATAAAAAAATGGGTCTAATCTCCTAAAGAGAAAGAACACTTTGCCATTTCACATAACATCTCCTTCAGATCTAACTCCAACTCCCACCTGTTTAAAGCATCCACTTTACAATCTAACTCCCCATTCCCAACAGCAAAATATCATTTTCATATTTTTCATTTTCACACACACACACATAGTGCGTGAAGAATACCACTGCCTTCAGGAGACTCTAAGTTTGGAGATACTTACGTAGAAAGGTATATATGCATGTCTTCCATTAACAGGCCCAACAGTAAAACCAGTGTATCCAGCCATAGCACCATGCACAGCGCTGTGAGCCAGCAGGGTGCAATACACATTATCTGATGCATTACTTGGAATAGCACGAATCATATAAGTTGGATCTGTAAAAATTATTCTCATCAGATAATGTAAATTTCAAGCCTTTTCTTCTTTTTCTTTTTTTTTGAAAGTGTTAATTGTAATTTCAAGGATAAATGTTTCAATTAAGTAGATAATCTATGTTATCTCACTGACCTATGTACTTGAGATTTATCACCATCTTCCGTGTAAAATGATCCTGAAACACCAAGGAATTATCAGAAGTAATTTAATCATCATATTTATTTTGATGCTCATTGCTGCTATATCCATTCATCGTCATATTTATTTTGATTTTCAATTCCAGCATTACTTGTCAAAAGAGAACGGAAAACACTAAACAAATTCATAGAATGCATAAAAAAATTGTAGCTTTCCTCTTTAGGGCAGACATGGTACATAGTACCTTCATCTTCCTACTTAATTTAAAATTTGTGTGCACATGGCTTTTGGGGCTTAAAAAATTGGTTTTCCTCTGGAAATTATTGGGATAATATAAAAAAAATGGAAAACAATGTCAAAATAGGGAATATGTAAACATTTCAAGGAAAGCTTTGAAGAGAAAAATGACAAACAAACTTGTTATTATCCTATTCTTTTAATTGTAATAAACTTATATCTAATAAACTAAAAACTTTTCATATAAAGTTGCATTTTCAAAAGTACAACAGAGAAAAAGAGAAAACAGGACAAAAATCTGAGGCACTAGGGAATATTACTTCATCTTAAAAATCCTACCAAATTAGTCCAAATTCTTTGAAAAATATATATTACTCACCCAATAGTATAAACAAACAACTTGTTCCTACGACCAAACATATTAACAAAGAACAACTTAAAAGCAAACCTTGATCTTTTCAGATAACCATAGTCCAACATCAAGTAGCAGCCGGTTTCCTGATGCATCTTGCTTTCCCATTTCCCGAATGCTTTCTGCGACAAGCTCTTGTCCAGCACCTTCAGCCACAACAATCACCATGTGTCCATTCTCTTTCAACCTCTTTCCAATATATTCAAAGAGTCCGCCTTCTCCTTCTAGATAGAAGGGTGATTCTGGAATCAAACAACAATCCTGAAGAAAATAACAACAGGCATTTCAAAGGCTGGTAAGGAATCATAAAAGCTTGCGTAGCTTAAATGACAAAATAAGGAAACTAAGTCAGAAATTTTGAAACCAAGAGATATAGATACACAAAGAATGAGTTCCATAAACAAACAATAACAGAAATTCTACACATTTTTATGCTCCTTATGTATTTATGACTTAAATGTTCATATAAATTTATCGCTCACATTTCTTCCAACCTATCAGGAAGGCAAGCTTACACATTCCTTGCAAACTTACATATTGAGTGAACAATACTCTTGCAAAGTTTTAAGACAAAAGAATGAATTAAATATAAGAAAATGGATATACGTGTCACTTAATATAAAGAAATGATCAAGAAAAGTTCTAACCAGGGATCAATTTGAAAACAGAAATTAACGAAGCAGCTCATAAATATGAAAACAAAATGGCTACAAACTAAAATACAACAGATGCTTACCACATCTCGGCTGGCAAGGGTAGCATACATTGCAATGAACCCTGCATCAGTACGTATTTCAGTTCCAACATCAAATTCGAATAAAAAGGAAACCGTGGATAAACATCATATCATATAACAAAAACTATGAAAATAACTTTTCCCAAAGAGGATGTATTTTAGAATCAGCTTAGGTCAGTCAACAAATAGCCACCAAAACTAATAAAAAAGTCATCTTTTTGCCCAGAAAACTTTTTGTTTTCAGAGTTTGATTTGGGATAGTTGTAGCTAACAGAAGAAGCTCGGAAAAGTTCTTACGTAATTCTGTCAGTTCTGATAATTGATCCAAAACTAAATTCCCTTCAGATGTTATGAAACTACTGATATCAAACATCCCATGTTTTTTCTATCATTTCCTGTTTTCCTTCCCCTTGCCCCATTTTCAAGAGCAAGATAGGTGAACATTATAAAGGGATTGTCTACAAAGAGACCATTTAGCTTTTGTACACGGTGGTCACAATCATTCTTGTCCCTTAAATTTCAAAATAGGTGGTTGTAAGAGTGTCATTGAATAGACACAAAGTTCAAAAAAAAAAAAATTCTCAGACTTCGTGACCCACCCCAAGCCATTCTATTTGACATCTAATAAGTGGGAATTTTAAGATACGAAGCAAGAAGGACAAGGGCCCTGCTATTTAACAATTTGACACCCTTTTTCTTCAATTCTACTGTTGGTTTTGACCATGTGGCTACTAGCTACATTGAACTGAGGTCACCAGGAAATCCGGATCATTACTAATTAAAATTTATCAAAGAGTAGAGATCACAATCTGAATTCTGTTCTGGTTCCTATGTCATCTGAAGGAGCTATGACAGGCAGGCAGAAAAGAAAGCACAAAATATAAAGAAACAAACTCCCCATAAGAACCCGACGTTTTAGCATTACATTTTCATACAATTTTCGAGATTGGCCAATTATACCAGGCTAAAGATAGATTTAAAAAATAATAATCATGATAGTCAAGGAAACTCGATCCTCATAAGGACAGTCAATACAATGAAATAAAAAATAATAATAATCATCAGAGGATGTTAGCAATCCGACCTACCGCTATAACGACCCATAAGCTTCACGACCCCAACACCATTCTCAACACTTTCGGCTTCAACATGTGCTGCATTAATGGCACGCTGAGCTTCTTCAACAGCAGTGTCAAAACCAAAAGACTTGTCAATAACCTGAAAGAAACACAGAGAGCTCAAAGACTGTGACACAAAATATATAGGCATCTAATAGGCAATCATAAAATTAAAAATAAAAATTACTGCATGCTTTTCAGTCTTCAAGATAAAAATAATGGGATTACCGGAATATCATTATCAATAGTCTTAGGAATTCCGGCAACTGCAACTTTGATCCCACGTTTCAGGATTTCCTGCATGTAAAAAGGCCATCTTTGAGGTCGGAAACCAGTTTTTGCAAAGTAAAATTAAGCAAGAGAAAACTTCAAATCTTCAAAAAGCAGAGGCCAAGATTGATAGTGATTCAGAGCAAAGTTGTTAGTACGAGTCAAGGAGTACGAGTCAAGGACTGAAGACGTGAAACCAAGATTGAAGATAGAGTAAT